GAGTCGGAAGAATTTGAGAAGAAAATATTTCACCTTAGTGGTGATAATTTCTTTTCTTTCTTTTTTTTTTTTTTTTTGAGACAGAGCCTCAAGCTATCCCCCTGGGTAGAGTGCCATGGCATCATAGTTCACAGCAACCTCCAACTCCTGGGGGCTCAAGCGATTCTCTTGCCTCAGCGCCCCAAGTAGCTGGGACTACAGGCGCCTGCCACAACACCCAGCTATTTTTTGGTTGCGGCCATCATTGTAGTTTGCCAGGACTGGGCTGGATTTAAACCTGCTAGCTCTGGTATATGTGGCTGGTGCCTTAGCAGCTTGAGCTACAGGCGCCGAGCCACTACGGGCTTTTTTAGAACAGTAAGTTCTTCCTCATTCTTCTTGCTGCCTAATCTCTCAAGGTCATAATTAAATAACTTTGATTTTTGGACAAGAACATGTAGGATTTTTAATTTTGGTAGGAATCTCAGGGAGATCAGACATACCTGCAAGTTGGTTGGATCTTTATAATTCTCATCAGATGCAATCTGAAGTTTTTCCTGGATCCATTTCTCCAGTTCCTCAGCATCTCTTTGGAAAAACTGGAATCGATAGGAATCTTCTAGCTTCTGACGCCGAAGGGTTGAGAGCTCCTTGAAGCGGTGGTACCGGTCTAGGACCTGCTGCCGCCTCTCCTGGATGTCCTCTGCTGTTTCCAGCACTTTGACCCCGCTTGGGTCCATTTTCTGAAAACAAAAAATGCCCTGAGATAAGTATGAATGGACACCAAAATAAAGTCAATGGAATTTGCCTCTTTGAAGGAAAGAAACAATTATTAGATAATCCCAGCATACAAATGAGTTGAGAAGGTAGCCCCTTCCAAGGGTCTAACAGTGAAGTCTGGACCCCATTCCTTTATAGAAAGGGCCATCCACTCTCCTGCAACAGAGGATGTCCAGCCAACATGGCAGCGAAACCAGTGAAAAGTATAACTGAGAGAACTATGGTTCATACTGTCAATTCTGTAAGGCTTCAAGGATTCAAAGGAAACACCAACTTTGGTACTTTGTTGACAAGCCCATTCAGGAGTCCCTTCATCTGGTTTCTGTATTTCTTTGTGTGGAGATTAGAAAGAAATGACCCTTACTTAAATCAGCTTTTCTCTCTACCTTTCTAGATTTTAACCTGATATTTAATGATTATAAGATAAGTGAGTTCTGGGCAGTGCCTATGGCTCAGTGAGTAGGGCTCTGGCCTATACTCTACCGAGGGTGGCAGGTTCAAACCCAGCCCCGGCCAAATTGCAACAAAAGAATAGCCAGGCCTTGTGGCAGGTGCCTGTAGTCTCAGCTACTTGGGAGGCTGAGGCAAGAGAATCACCTAAGCCCAAGAGCTGGAGGTTGCCATGAGCTGTGATGCCACGGCACTAAAATAAAATAAGTGAGTTCTTGTGGTGCCATAGCTCAGTGGGTAGGGCGCCAGCCACATGCAGCAGGGCTGGTGGGTTCAAATCCAGCCTGGGGCTGATAAAACAAAAAACTAACCCAGTGTTGTGGTGGACACCTGTTGTCTCAGCTACTTGGGAGGCTGAGACAAGAGGATCTCTTGACCCCAAGAGTTTGAGGTTGCTGTGAGCTGCAATGCCATGGCATTCTACCGAGGGCAACGAAGTGAGACTCTGTCTCAATAAAAAATAAGTACATAATAAAATGAATTCTTTTTTTTGAGACAGAGCCTCAAGCTGTCCCCCTGGGTAGAATGCCGTGGCATTACAGCTCACAGTAACCTCCAACTCCTGGGCTCAAGCGAGTCTCCTGCCTCCGCCTCCCAAGTAGCTGGGACCACAG